AGTCGTCCGTGGAGAAGGGAGGCATCTTGCTGCTAACAACCCAAATAGGTCGACGACTTTCTGGATTTGTCTTCACTCAAACGTTGAAGAGTGATATATGTGATATATCTGGCAAATTGAAGCAAGAAAATACAAGCAGAGGCAAGCAGAGGCAAGAGCAAGCAGCAAAGCGACTGCACTCTCTCATCAAGGTCACTCAATCTGTAATTGTAATTCTAATTAGTCAAAAAGTAATTGTTGATATCTACAATTGTTGTCACTGCTGCTAATTAATGTTTAAAGGGCTTAATGCCATACTGACTTTGTTTCCAATGAATGAATAACTGTACAGTGGACAATGAGATGGATGCTCATTTATTGCCTGTGCTACTAGCCCGGGTAACACGTACTAGAGAGACCCACTTACTATTGAAAATGGGTTATCAGTTTTCAGCATTACTTTTTTAAGTATAGTTGCTGAAGTTCTAATACGCACATAAAAGAAATACTAACAATGCTAAAAGAAATGTGGACTGGGGTAGAGCCATTAGCAGCATAGTATAAGTCACAGGTGTTGCTGTAGCAGGAGTGTGTCTGCAGCAGCTCTGCCTGTGGGGGGACTTGGCTTGGGAACCGGAGAGTGTGTCCGGTTAAAGTTCTCGCATGGACTAAGTACGGAGTGTGGACTGTGGCAAAAGCGTGACAAAAATCGGAATTGTTAAAGTAAATTTTCTTCTTCTTCTTCACAATATTGCTGCCCATGGTGGAAGTGGGGGGGAAGAAAGCCTGGTTTCCCTCATGCGACACAGGAAGTGGACACGCTGTTGGGCTTTCTTGATCCGCTGTTGGGTGACCAGCTGGGGTTATTTGTGAGATGATCCTATCTTTACTGCAGAGCCGTTGATGTCTCAATTCTCAGGTAGCAAGACAATTCAGGGACTGCAGCCTTCTTTGTACAGTGAGGTTCTGAACAAGCAGCCACAGACAGCGGGGGATTCTAAGACCCTACCTCAGAGTGACCGTGAGGGTGTTATAAATAGATGTATGTCCGGTGAAGAGAGCACCGGATGTTTTCTTGTTTTGTGGGCTGTATTTTTTAAAGGAAACTTAAACCAACTTCTCATCAACTTTTACAAAGGAGCAATAGAAAGCATCCTGACGGCAGACATTACAAACTGGCATGGGATGTGCACGGCACAGGATAGAAGGGCTCTACAGTGGGTGATTAAAACCACTCAGAACATCCCTGGTACCCATCTACTGAGCATCAGTGTTATTGGTGAGAAGAGGAGCCTGTGAAGAGCTCACCCAGCCACAACCTGTTCACCTGCTGCCGTCTTGAAAGAGATGCAGAAGTATCAGCTGCAGAACCACGACTGAATTGTCACTAGTCAAAATGTTGATTGTTGATATTAACAATTAAATTGTCACAAGTGGAATCAACTGTTGGTATCTGTGATGGGACTGTACATTTCCACAAGTCACAATCCTTCAGCATGTAGAAATGCAATGATAGATATGTGTTATTCTTACTACTGAAAAAGGAATTACTGATATGTGTAATTAAATTAAAGATTTAATTACACATATTTCTACATATGATAATATATCAAAATTGTTTTACAAATATCTGAAATTATCATTTTAACTAATAATGAAATGTAATTAAGACATGAAGACTAAATTGCTACTTGTCCCCTATCCCTACTAACTGTTGCCTTAACACCTGTTGATGTAATTCAATACAACAGCCCTTCATTAATAAAAACCTGTCTGACATTTAAAATGTTTGCCAGCGTTGATTCAACAATGTGTGGTTGTTTTGGAGGCTGTGGTGTGTGGTACTGTTGAATTACGTGCTCTTTAGAAATTTATTGCAGGAATGTACAGTACTGACATCCAAAACAACAACAACAACAACAACAACAGTCCTACCTCCACTTGTTGAGAGCCCTCGGATTGAAAAGACCGCACTGAGTCCTGGGCTGAGATTTATCTTCAGCAGCCAGAGCAATGTTCATCCATCAATGCTGACAGCCAAGCAGAAAGTGATAGCCACACAATTACAGCCAAAGCAAATAAATGGACTGATTACGGTCTTATGAAAGCTGCCTTCAGGAGCACATTTTTCCCTCCAGTTACTATCCAGCTCATACAGCCCAAACCGCATGATTAACACAACTTTTAAGTGTTGGTTAAATTTCCTGTTAAGACAGACAGTGACTTATTTCAGAACAGTGATAAAATTGTAATTTTATTAATATTGTTATTGTCACTCATAGAGAGACAAAAGTCCAGTGTTGTCTTACATTGTACAATAGTTCTGTTTAGAATATTTATTTTTATAAGACAAATGCCTGTGCTCATATAAGATATATTGAAAACAACTTTTCATATGCTGCTCATGTATTTGGTGGAGCACATATTTGGCTATATCTTGTTGAAAGATTAGTTGTGCATACTCAATCTGTTTCAGCTATCTCTAGCATTTGGTCGTAGTATCTTATGCCGAACCAAATTCCCAGAGTGCACTGCAGTTTTCAGAAAACTGACCTTTTTAGGGTGCCTTCCTTCCCTTGCGAAAAAGAAAATCACTGATACTTGAACTCCTTCACATGGGGCAGTAATTCCATCCCAACCTCGAGGGAGCAATCCACAGTTATCTGGCAGGGAACGAGGCCTCGGACTTGGAGGTGCTGCGAAACGCCCCGGTGCATGATGGGTCTCTAATAGCCATGGTCTGACGAAGCACGGAACCACATCATCTGCAAAGATTCTGAGATCCCCAAAATGGGACAATCTCCTCCCCCTGGCTGCAACTTGAGATCGAGTCCCTGCAGATGACAAACAGAATCGGTGATTAGGGACGATCCTGGCAGAGAACAACACCTGATGGAAATGTGCTTGACTTCCTGATTAACAGAGATCTCAGTCTGGCTATATCAGGACCAAGCTCCCATGACCCCTCAAGTAACTTTGCAAGGGTGAAGAGTCGGTCCTTCGCCAGAAGGGAATCCCTACCGCTCCTCCTGAGTCTCCTTTCAAGTACCCTGGCATGAGCTATGCGAGGGAGGATGAGCAGTGTGGTATGGACCACCCTGCGTTCCCCCTTCTTACAAAGGGGAACAACCCTATTCGGCTTGTTCACCACCCCATAATTTCCCTCGCTATGTTAGCAGCTCTCCTCCACTACTGAACACATCCTGAGCCAAAGCCCTGCTTCCATTTCCTGGGTCGTCTGGCGGATCGTAAGAACTTCACAGCCTCCTGAATTCCTAACCCTGCCACAACCACCAAAGCTGCGGCCCTTCTGGCCTCCCAGTACCTTAGAAGACTAGAGGACATCCTAGAACCAGTTGGGTCAGCATGCCATAGTTCCCCACCCCAACTCAGTCCCACTGCCTATCCCCATGGGTGGTGGCTCCAGGGTTTAAGACCATGTCTACTTAATCACAGCATTCCTAAGAAGAGTCCAGCCAAGGACCTTTGTTGCATGTCATCCTCTACCTTTTCTCTGGTGTCACTACAAAAGCAATAAAATGTATTTAATAAAAGGATACAGTAAATGTTTTTGTTTTTTTAATCATGTTTTTGAGATGTATTTTTCCACCATTTAATAGAATGCCTGAATTATAGTAACATATAATATAATAAGTAACATGGTCCTGGCCAAAAGCCACCAAACTGCCCCAAGGACGAGAAGGAGAAGAGCCAAGATGGAAGCTAAGCTAACCCAGCTAGGACCTGAGGCTACTCCACTACCCAGCCTCCTGCTGGCTGTCTGATGCCAGGTTGCATAAAAATAAAATCACAGAGAAATGGCTCCATCATTCTTTTCGAAACAAGCTGCACTTAACGGGCAGACCGCAGGACTGAGCACAGGACTCGAGTGGGACCAGAGGAGGTGCACTCTGTGTTTACATCATGATGCTTGGTGCCCAAACACACTCAAAGTTGATGGACAATCTTTTACCTCATGTTGAATTTTTATTGTGAAGATGTCGGACGTATCTGCCCAGAGAATTGTGGCTGTTGCTGCTGTAACCCTTATGATGCAAATTCAAAATATGCACTACAGGAATGTACTACTGTTTTTGTTTTGTTTGTCATGTGTTTGTTGTGTTACAAATGAGCTACAAATGAATTTCGGTGTGCATGCATGCCAATAAATGATCCTTGAATGAATTAACATGAAGGTTATGGGAGCCACACAGATGACTCACCTCAGCAAGTTAGAATATTATTTAGTTCAAAAACATTTGGATGGATTTTTGCTATTTGTATGAATTTTATTTCTTAACATAAACAAATATAATTCTTTATGTGTGGCTTTAGGGTAGCCTAAAGTAATTGTGTAAAGTGTGTAGCGAGCACTTTGTGGGTTTACACACTCTCTCGCACACGCACGCACACACACACACACACACCCACAGGCGCGCCCATAGAGAGAGAGAGAGAGAGAGAGAGAGAGAGAGAGAGCAGAGGTGGTCTGAGGGGTTTCCAGACTCGTTCAGTTCGCAGTCTTCTGTTGCGCTGTTATCTACATCAGGTTACAACTCGCACATGTAATAACTTCAGTTAGTGTTCTATTTGTTGTTTCACTTTTTCGGTGCGCGAGGTCGGGGGGAGCAGCGGAGCAGGAAACCTAGTGTCTGAATATCTGGCAGCACCGTGAAAACACCGTGAAGCGGACGAGGCGTTCGGCGCGACTTAGTCCGCCGTTGAACAGGTGGAGCTCGGGAGGAGTTGAACGAAGCGTCAACGGGGATGGTTCGGACACGTGCAGCTCCTCTCTGGTTTTCGGGGTGCGTTCAGCGGAGGATGGGATAAACGAAACACACGAAGTCTGGTCCGTTCCTTACAAACAGATATCCTCTCATTTACAGTTTTATTAAACAGGAATCTGGACATTAGAGACAGGAGCACTTCCCCACCTCTCAGTAACACAACTATTTGTTACACGAGTCTATGGGGAAACTTACTTGTATGCAACAATCATTTATGTGAAACTTCCAGAGAAGATGAAGGAAAAATGCAAGAACGCGGCGAAGACGCGGCGGGAGAAAGAGAACGGAGAGTTTTACGAGCTGGCCAAGCTGCTGCCTCTGCCGGCGGCCATCACCTCCCAGCTTGACAAGGCCTCCATCATCCGACTGACCAGCAGCTACCTCAAGATGAGGGCAGTCTTCCCCCACGGTAGGAACAGCCACAGAGCTGCCCGCAGAGGGACTGGGATCGTCCATTCATTTCAGATTCTGAGGACCGAAAAGGAATTATGTATTATAGTGACATAGTGTTGACATATTTAAATGATTTATAATAGGATAGTCAATTCAGGCATTCTGTGTAAGAAATACATCCATTTTTATCCAATCCAATTGAAATATGAAAATAGCTCTTCAGTTTATTGCAGTTCTAATTGCACATGTTTAGTGTATAATATTTTTGCAAATATATGACTAAATATTTTTCAATATGTAGAAAATATAGCTGTTCCGTTGTGGTTTTTAATGTGTAAGAAGAGGAATAAGGAATTCTGTAAGAAGAACCAACTTGCGGGACCTCTGTGTCGTATAAACATCCAACTAATATAGAGGAGTTTCTTTCTATTAAATTGTCTGTATGAAAAGAAAAAATCAAAATGTGTATTATGGGAAGAAATAGATCCATACACTCCTTTTGGTAGGCTGTTTAATAAGGCGTCCTCTGTAACGTGAAAGCCTACCTAATTGCTTTATTCATTTACTAATACTTTATATCAAATCAGCATTTCTACAATATATTTCATATAAACCAGCCGAAGGTATTTTCACAACCAAGTAACCTAAATGTTCTTGTAAATAGATTATATATAAAGCCAAAAGTTGTAAACCATAACGGGTGCCTGTATTTTAGTTTTAGAAAACGCCGACCTGCTAATTAATTTAAATAATGTAAGAGCCTTTTTTTTACAAAACGTTTGCCTGAAAGCTATAATAGTATGATAATAATAGTATTAGTTTGTTTTGTTATTGGTATTAGTTATTATCAGGTCTACTTTTCCGCGACGTGTCAAATGCTATATTCTCCTCGCGGTAAAAAGAAAAAGAAAAAAAGTGAGAGTTAGCTCCTTCGCTCAATCATCATCTTCGTGGGCTGTTAAACCAATTTTGTGAATTAGGGTGTCATCGAAGTGTTGAGGTTGTTTTCCCACTCTGATTAAAAGCCGATGTCTCGTTTAAACGCCTCACTCATTCATCAAGGTGAATTATTTCATTAAGGCCGCATGCAGCTCCGCCGGGCGGGTTAGAGGGCAGGCAAACAGAACCCTTCCTCTCTGTCATCACTCATAAAGTCAGAGTGAACACACGGCCCTCTGTGGCCGGGCCACCCGTTCAGAGTCCAGCGAAGCCGCCGTCGCGACCTCTTTGTCGGAGGCGCAGTAAACGCCTCAGCGGTAACAGGCCCGCTGCAACGCTCACCCAGTGAGACGTTTAATGCCCGTGAAGCCTACGGTGCGTTTAAAGAAGTCCAGAATCCCGACAAAGCTCTGCAATGCAGAGTCGTGGGACACGGGGAACTTTGAGTTATCCAGAGGCGCGTGGAAGCTCTTAATGTGATGCTTTTATGACTTCACCATCAGTTTTAATGCTCAGAAGAAAAAGAAGAGTAGACCTATCGTGTCAGTGTAAATATAGACAGACAGGATCAGACCGAGTCACTTTTTCTCGATGATCTCCGGCTGCAAATATTATTATATCCTGAAGTGGAAAAGTACGTGATAATAACTCATAGAATATAGCTTTTATTATTTTGGATACTTTTGAACTCAGCACAGCGGCCCGAAGCGCAGCAGCCTGGTTGTTGTGAGATCAGTAGCTTTATATCGGCTGCTCAGACATTTTCATTGCTATTTTTTATTCACATTGTGTCACAAATTATATCCAAACAAGTAAACTACACGGGCTTAATAACACATATGAAGCGTGGACATACAGACCGAACGGTGACAGTTTGAACGTGTGCGGCTTCGGGTTTGCATCTTGTTTGCATATAATTTCGCATTTAAATTTATTGTATGTTGGTGCTAAGATTTAGGCTTTTTATTTTGGTAACGTTGTTAGTCTGACTTATTATGGGAAGAAGAACATCGGGAATCCAGCAAGGTCACAACAAAATATGTGACGATTTGAGCTCACATATGTGGGGGTTATATAACGCTTCTGATATTTAGATACATTTATTTGGATTTAGACTAAATTATTAATTTGTGTGTGCAAGTTTTACACTTTTTATTTCAATACACAGCAATGATCTATTGTTAAGGAGAGCTTATAATTCAGTAAAAAAAAGAGTAGTGTATTTATTCTCAAAGGAGTTCATTTATTACTGAAGGAAAATAAATAAATGTCATAATTTTGCACATCATCATAGCCACCATGATGTAATTCTCAGAGATGAAAAGATAAGTATTATCTCAAACACAGTTTTAGTACAATTTAGAGGCACTGGCGCATCATTTCCATTTTAAACATTTTACATATAAAATATATTTTGCATTCAAAAAATATGTATCACTGCAGTTTAAATTATCCATCAGCCTATGACTTTGTCAGACCTGAACCTGCACACCTTCACCAAAACCTGAACACATAAGATTGATAAGAAGTACTCTTTTCACTTACGCCCATCTCTCTAACTAGTTTTGAAATAGAAAATAGGTGCATGTTGAGCTTTGGTGGTTTCATGTACTTTTTCTTTGCAACTTAGATATTCAGCATTTTGCATTCACTATTTCCCCCATACCCATCAGTGCCAACATTCCTGCAGCTCTGGTATGAAATTACAAATTATGTGAAAAGCAGAATTGATTCTACAAACTGACCTGCGTGGCAGAAACACATCTCTGCAGTTCTGTCAGGCTTTTAGCACAACTTTCTGCAGGAATCGATTCTGTAGAAATGAAATACATGCAAAAGACTCAGTCCTAATGCGGGGCATCTTTTATTCTAGATGTATGCAAATATGTGTTTGTATAGCTTTTAAAGAAGTTCATTCTTTGTCTAGAATAATCTGATAATATTCCAGTATCAGTTGAGCAATATACTCCACCACACGTTTATTTTTGAGCCCTTTCATCATCAGTATATTATGTAATGGCTTTCTTTGGATTATCAGTGTGAGAGGGACACTCTGATTGGAATCTGTGACATTGTGGGTCGGCCTCCACCTGATGAAAAGAACACTGAGATGTGGTGCGTAACACCTTGTACAGATCTCAAAAGCATCGCCGACGGTTGCATTCTAAAAAGAGGAAGCACTGAGAAGTAGCTGGGGTCATGATACGTGAGGACAGCTGGGTGTTTGATTTTGTGTGAAGCAGCACAGCAGAGCACTCTGAATGCCAGCCTGGATTATGGGGAAAAAAAGAGATTCAATTGGAACTGTCAGGCACTTAACATTTCAGTCCTTCCTGATCAGGTGATGACAGAACCCTCTGCTTCCTCCAATGTTTTCCTTGTTTCTAGCTCTTCCCACACATAACTTTATGCAAATGTTTTGCCAGTTCTCGTCAAATACAGACGCTTTTTCACTTCTGATACAGACGCACAAGGCAACATTATTGTTAGACGCTCAGAGAAAATGCTCCAGAAGTGTGAGAGTAGTGAGTGTATAACCCAGGACGGGAGGGAGTGGAGGTGGATGGGTCAAATAAACACTAGACTTTTTAACAGCAGACCAGTGTTTGAGACTGATGATTATGTCCCAAAGTTAGGTTAGTGATATTTGTGACGTGTTTTCCATACTTATGTTACGTTTTTTCCTAAGCCTAACAAAGTGGTTTTGTTCTGAAACCCAAGAAAGGCTTTTTGATAGTAATTTGCAGCGTTGACCGCGTGTTTACTGCGACCGTAGTGGAGCATCAAAGTGACGCCGAGGGGTCTGACCGAGCATCAGTGTGACCATTTGGAATGAGAACGTGTTGTATTTTTACCGCAGCCTAAAGCACAAAGTGGAAAAGTGTCCCAAGAAATGGATTCTATTGGCATGTTTGACAGAGCATGTCTCAGTTCTGTGTCCCAAAGCAACACACGCTCGTGCTCTTCTCCAAGTCTAGAAGTAGAGGCAAGGATAAGGACATAGACACACACAGTAGGTACTAGATATGACGTTTGCTGCTTTAAATAATAACTTTAAACAACTAACACAAATACAACACACTTTCAATGAGCGAGACTGCAATCTGTTGATCCACAAAATGGTGGAATAAGAGCTCTAGTCCTCTAGCCCTCTGGACCATGTGTGTCCACTCTTGTACAAAATGTTGGGAGCATTTGTTGAATAATGTGTGAAAATCTTCAGAGACTGATGGCTTATCTGAAAATGGGCCAAAAAGGTTAGTTTGTTTGAATGTTTTGTTGCTGTCTATCTGATCTCTATAAACAGATTCTTCATTTATATGCAGAAGAAGCGTTTTGGTTTCTATCTGTAGTCCGAGTAGTATTGATCAGGTTTAAGGGGGCTTTGGCTGCATGCAGGTAAACAGTCAGTGCGGAGAAACAAAAGAGGCGGAACGCATCGGCCTGATGATGATTTAGCTTTTTATTGTTTTAAAATTAGCGTGAAAACTGGCTACTTTCAAATCAATCCGGTTGTACAAGTTGTCCCTCAACTCCAACTCTAGTCTTGTTTCTTAAGTTGCTAATTGGAATGTAGACCAAAAAAAAAAAAACGTGCATTGTCACTTCCCCGTGTCTCGCATGCAGATAGTTTTGGTTTCTTTCGTCCAGGTTTAGAGATATCTGCCCCCAACCCATTACAATGGAGATGAATGGAAATTAATTTGTGTAGTACTTGAACAAGACTGTCTACAGCCATGCTAGCATCTCTGTTAGGCTGTACAAAAGCACAGCACACAGAACTAAATGCTAATGGCAGCGTGCTAACATGCTTACAACGACCGTGCTAACATGCTAATGCTAACTTGGTCAAATGTTTACCATGTCCACCATTTGGTAGTCAGCAATACAGTGAAAGTAGTTACAGCTGAGGCTGATGGGAATGTCAGTAGTTTGTGGGCATTTACTGTTTTGAGTCATAAACCAAAGTGTTGAACAAAGCAAAGTTATTGATGGAGCAAGATGAAAAGTGAAGAGTTTACCAACGTTAGTAGAGTTCCTGAAGGGGACATGAAAGTGTGCCAAATGTCACGGCAATCCACTCTAAATTTCTTAAGACATGGGATAGTCAAACCATACATTTTCCATTAGCTAAAGTCATGGATGGTACCAAAACAACCACTTCATTCTTGGTACCATCGAGCTCAGCCGATACTAGAAGGTGGAGTTAAAACACTGCCCACCATTGATTGGTCAGAGAGAATCGTCACTGTAGCAGGACACGGGTCATCTGCCAAAGCTTGCCATTTATAAATAGCAAAGCTATTATCTTTAGTTAATAGCGACTGCAACTTATTAGTCACTCGACCTGGATTTTAAAAAATCATACACTACGGCGTACAACAGACAAAGTGCAGACATTCCTCAGTTTCGTTGCTCTTGAAATGATTCAGCAAGTGTACCTTTGAAGTCATGTAGTTAATCAGTTGAAGAAAAGGAAAAATGGGGAGATTTGTAATGATCCACAATCCAAAATATCGTCTATTTCAGCGACACTTTGCAGATGAGCCACACTTCTAAAATGCTGCTAATTTTAAATGAAATGTATTTATTTATTTGTACCGTTACTGGAGAAAGTTTGTCTAAATCCCCGCCCAGACCTTCTTCAACAACGGATCCGATATCCTCTGGGGACACCGAACAAAATCTGCTATTTAGCTGTCACATACACATACACATTGCTTTATTGACTTTAATGCAGGCCTACTGTAGGCTAAGTGTACACGTAAGCATTAAGATCAATAGCATTGGATCGTAAAGCGTGGTCAGGACATTTATGGCATGGACAGAGAAACCTGAATAAGGAATACGGATCATTTCTTATGTTCCATATCATATCCCTGAAGACTTATAAAGGAATAGCATGCAAACACACTCACTGACAGACAAGGCTATGTGTTGTTTATGACACAGACCAGAGGCTGAATAAAACTGAATAAAACTAAAATATGTATCATGTGCTCTGACGGCACATATTTGGGGTGTTCCCCGAGGACTTAAAGAACATACTCTCTGCTTGCTTGTAAACAGCTAAAGCAGACGTCTCTTGGTACAGCCTGGATAACATTTCTCGTAATGAAAAAATCTGTCAGTCTTGTCCTGTATGTTTGAAATTGGACAAATCTCAATTAATGTGTATTTTTTTTCTCTTTATTTCCATCGCATGATACAAATATTTTTCCTCAAATCCTCAGAGAGTTTAAAGTTTAAAGATGCACAATATGGCGTCGTCATTCTTGTCAATGCCAGAATGTTACTGGGTTAGCGCTGTGGATGTCAGCATATCTGATGTCAAAGTTTTTCCTCAGTGGAGCAAACTGGAAATGATGCCCTTCATCTGCACAATGTGAAACTTGCATGTTTGGTGTGAAAGCCCAGTGTCTTTATCTCCCTGAGTATTTGTCTCTTGCATGATAGATGGAGTTTCAGTCTTTGTCCCCCTGGCTGTCTTACCGTGTCCGTCTCTCTCTGTAGGTCTGGGTGATGGATGGGGTCGGTCAACAAGGCTCAGTCCTCTGGACAGCATGGCTAAAGAACTGGGCTCCCACCTTTTACAAGTCAGTACAGGAAACAACACACTGTGTGCTTGCTCCGCAGTGTGCTCTCAGTGTGCACGACTATGCTATTATGTGCTGCATGAAACTGATACCAAATGATATCTCTTTGTGCTACTGTGTGCAGTGCTATTTCAAATGTTGCTTTGCTATGCTATGCTATGCTATGCTTTGCTATGCTATGCTATGCTACATTAGAGTGGGGGTCAGCAAACAGCAGCAAGTAGCCTGCCAGCTAAATCTGACTTTACACCAAATTATCAAGGCCCACAAATACATTTGAAACATCAAAGGTGTTGGGCTTCTTTATTATTCCACCATAAATATAACAGTCAAATACCGTATTTACAATTAAATACTGTAATTACAGTAGGGTCAGCCGGTGGTGCTTTAGGTTTTTTACTATCCAATTTCTTTTGTTTTATCAGGAGGTGCTGGCTTTGATTGTAGGCTCATGAATCTATCACAAAGTCCTTTTACACTGCAAGAACCTAACATACTGCAACGTGGGGCTCTGCACAGCCTGGACTAGTCGGAACCTTTTGAGGTATTCCTCCCGTTGTATTTTCAATAAGGGGCAGCAGTGGGATCAGCAATGATCAAAATGCTGCTGCCATTGTTACCAGTTTTAATTTAAATGTATCACTGCGCGTCGAACCACTTCATGGAAGCAAAAGCAGAATGCGTTATATTAAATGAATCAGTCTCTGCTGCGGATAATGAATAATCTCACATATATTTTTATTATAGCAATACTGCAAAGCTTTTGTTTACTGCAGGTAATTACACAGGTCAGTATAATACAAAACCTTTTTGAAATCACAGGTTTTGCTCGTCTTCCCACTACGTTTTTAAATCAGCAATTCCGATTATGGCATTAATGCCAGTAAAACAGAATACAAAAATAGAGGGGTTCTTATCCCATTTTCAATTCTACTTACATTTTATTTGCGGCGTTGGAGTGGTATTTAACTCGTGATGGTTATTATATGCATTATTGCACATGCACTTTTACGCACGGAAACCATGCATGTTCTTCTTCAGCGTGTCCAGAAAGGTGAATTCATCATCCGCTCTTGGCAGCTCCTGCATTGACTTTAAAACTCTTCAGTCCAGGACAGTAAAAAGTTCCCTCTGAGGAAAACTCTTGACAGGATCCACAAACTGTTATCGTGTCATGACGGGGGGAGAGCCGCGCGTTTAAAGGGGATGATGACGGTAGTGGATGTGATTGGCTACGATTGTAACAGCCTCTAAAAACACCCATGTAGGATGATGTTTGCTTTCTGATCCAAACCCTGTGCCTACAAATGACTGCCAATGCCACGTTATCACCACCATAGCCTGTAACATACTTTAAATATTAATTTTATTACCTATTTTACTCATACCGATGCCACTAATCTGACAAAACTACTACTGCTAATACAATTAGTAGGCCAAGCATATACATTCCTCCTCTCTATGTTTAGAAAGGCTACAGATATTACCTCTGTCAGCTCTACTGTGCATTATTTGTTATTTTATTTCATTGTTTTAATTTAATTTTGGCTCTGGCTTCCCCTGTGTTTGCTTTCACACTCATATTTAACCCTCATATTTAGAATTGTATTTAAGGTCAAGACAAACATTTTCGGGAAGTGTTTCTAGGATAATATTATTATTATTATCATATAAAATGATATAAAAAATAATGAATTCATCTTTTTTGATAAATAACTGTAGTATAGTGGTATATACATATAGTTTTTTTTGTAGGAAGGAGACATTTATAACAGCCATGTCACGAGCAACAGAAGCACCAACAAAGAAGACGGATAGTAAAGGCTTGAACTTGGATTTTACTCAATAGTACGACATGATTTATGGTCCAGTTGACTTCTAATAGTTAATACTCAGTGCTGTCATTTTTTAAAATAAATGTACTCTTTGTGCAGTTATAAGCGTCACGCATAACAGGTCTGCTGAAAAATGTGCAGCTGCTCTGAGGTCTGTGTGGACGGCTGAATAAGAGTTTAGAGTTGGGCCTCTAATTTCCTCTGACCATGAATATTCTGTAGAGAGTTCTGGGATGCATTGGACCGAACTTTTTAACTTTAATTAACATTCAATTGTTGTTTTAATAATTTATATTTGCTCCCTCTTAAATATTCCTGCACACATGTTGTGCCCTTAAATGCTGCACATGCTACTATGCAGGCTGCTGGTTTAAAGTACAGACTGTTCTGATAGATTGATTCCAATTAAATAAATGATGCTGTTCTATGAGTCACGTATGAGGGGTATTTGGAATAATGTATGCCATTTGGATAATATAAGCTATCAGACACATTAGAATTGTCAATACAGCTGCTAAAAATGTTAACTGCCAGTATTTTATTTTTCATAATTTTTTCTTTTATTTTATTTCATTCATTTCTCCAAAAGATTATAGTAGATGTATGCATCAAACAAAGAAAGAAGAGTGTTCGCTGCAGTTAAGAGCATGCATTCAATACCAGAACATTAAAAGAAGAACATGTAGGGAAATACAGATGAGCTGCTGATGGAGTGTTTGCACTGGGAATTATGTTTACAAATGTTTTTATAAAGAAACTTATACTGTCCAATGATTTTCTTAATTAAAAAGTAATAATAAAGAAAAGTTAGTCACGGGTAAATAATGTCTACACTAACTAAACTGCTAATGCAGAAAGGCTGAAGAAGAACAAATATGGAGGCAGGGCTGGAAACTCTCAGAATAATGCCACCATATATTCTTACATCTGATGGGTAAATACATTGGTACAGATGACTGTAAAATAGTTAACATTACTAAGTGTTTTGTTTGGCCTCCTCAGACTCTGGATGGCTTTGTGTTTGTCGTTGCCTCTGATGGCAAAATCATGTACATCTCTGAAACAGCATCAGTCCACCTCGGCCTGTCCCAGGTAAGTCCCTCCTCCATGACCTCAGTATGATAAAGCATAATCAGAGCAAGTGACATATAAAAAGTAATGTGCACACACATATTTGGGATGAAACAGTCTTTGACAGTCTGCATGGATTCAATACATTTCTGTGTTTTGTCTTGGTGAGTTAGTTGCGATGTAGCTCGTCACTGCACATTTATGAGCGCATGCTGGAAATGTGTGTGCTACAGGTGGAGCTGACAGGAAACAGCATTTTTGAGTACATCCACCCATCAGACCACGATGAGATGACAGCAGTGCTGAGTCTTTGTCAGCCCCCACACCATCACTTCTCCCCAGGTACCTAAAGAGCCTCAATCTGCAGGCTCTCGTGCACATGTCATGAATACCCGTACTGTACATTTATCTCAACGGCATAGAGGACCAGTATTTGAAACAGGCTTATCTTAGAGACAGACCTTTGTTTGCTCATTTCCCATGTTACTAAACTATTACACATGTAGCTGTTGTCTTGATAAATTAAGCTTAATGCACATTTCCACAGCTGCAATTTCCATCAGTATTACAACAGAGTCATATGGAATTCTTTTTTTCTGACAGTCTCTGTGTTATTTTCATAGTTTTGCCACCAAAGCTGTTTCTAACAGTAATAACAACTTTAAGTTTTTTTTAGTGCTGGGCAAGTTAACGCGTTATTATCACGTTAACGCATTAATTCATTAACGCCGACAATTAGCGGTATATTATCGCGCATAATATAATTTTTAACACAAGAACTGGGCAGCGAGCGGTGAACAGCTGTGTTTGTGTGGCGTCTCTTCCTTCTGCTGCCGCTCTCCCCCCCACCGAGTGACACGCCAGATCCGGAACCGTCGGGCCCTCCTGTCTCACACACACACACGCGATCGTCTCGTCACAGGATCAAACGTGACAATATCAAAATACATATTGTCGTGTTTTTGAATAAACATATAAGCACGTGAGAACAAACTGCTCTTAACTACAACTCTTTATTAGCATAACTTCCACATGCTGCACGTTACTGCCACGGTACAGACTACAGGTTCCAAGCTTCACCTACATTCCCCTGGGTCCTAAGTCCCTCCATGTACAGCTTCTTATCACCCTCTATGTACCAACGTACATTTATAACAAATACCACACATATTACACGGTACTCAGCGTTGCATATGTGTCTGACCTAAATACCAAAAAAAGCAAAAAAGAAATGATTCATTTAAATAATTTTTTTAGAGTTTTTAAAGTGTTTTTGTTTGGAATATGTATAATAAGCATATAATTTAGTTATCGCTACTGAGAATTTAACAAACATAAAAACATGACAAAGAGAGGTTTGCAGTTTTCAAGGAGTATATTTCAAATCGCATCTATTACACACATGAAGATAAAGTTGTGAACAGAATCATTATAACTATATTTTAACTGCTACTGTGTGAAGGGAATACTGCTGTTAAAAGTAACCTTATTTGTTTAAAGTGTTTGCAAACCAAATGTTATTGCACTGTTGTTCATATAGCAGTACTTTTAAAATAAAAGTGCGCAATACACTACTTTTGAATTAATTATTGAATTCTGCGCATAACAATGAGATTAATCGCGATTAAAAATTGTAATCGTTGCCCAGCACTAGTTTGTTTTAGATGATTGGATGTTGGGTCTTACAGTAACATAATAATGTCTCGCCATATGCTGCTTTGATATCGCCCGTTGTTTTTTTAAGCCTTGTGAGCCTTGTGAGCCTTGTGAGCCTTGTGAGCCTTGCATAACCCATTATTTTACTTTACAAACAATATTCCTAGACTAGAAGACAGAGTGAGAGGCCTGTATCTTTAAAATGTTGTCTGTACGGTATTCTACAGATAACTTGAAAATGATCCCGGTAAATTTGCCATGGTGCTGGAGAAGAGTGTCTGGCTGATAGTCCAAACTCAGACTCGGTCCCTGTCAGAAGCAGCTCTGTACAGCCTCTTATGTGGACTTGTGGCTTGAATTGTAGGACTGCTTCTTTTTTGTAGGTTTCCTCTGACAAAAGTGCTCGCCAAATGAATACATGTTATACATGTGTTAGAGTCATGAGGTGTTTTGAATGATGTCTACCTACAACATATAGCTTTATGACAGAATTCAGGCTGTATTCTGTTGTTGGTCCGTCTTACTACACTGGTACACGTTGAAGCTGCTAAGTAAGGTGCATATTTGAAATATTTGCGGGTAATGTCTCTGTGATGTGTGTTTTGTGTGACAGAGTATGAAATGGAGCGCGCCTTCTTCTTGAGGATGAAGTGTGTTCTGGCTAAACGAAATGCAGGACTCACATGTGGGGGATATAAGGTAGGTGCAGCCACTGGATGCTCATTTACTCCGACACACACACACACACACGATGACTTAATTTATGGTAACTTGGGGATCTGGAAGTGATTTAATTTCATGAAGTGATAATTAAACAAGTCATTGGTCATTAGCTGGCTACAAATTTTGGACATCCAGGAATATTCATCTGCCCCTCAAAAGGTCGAAAGCTGCTGTCAGATCTTTGTCCGATAACTTCAATGGATAGAAGCCCTCATACTGCACGCACACATGTGTGATGTACTGTGCTACAGGTGAGAGAGCAGCCTAAGCCGTCCTTAGGGGAGATACAGTATAGGGTACTGTTGGCTTGTTTGAAGCAACCTATGTATAACAATCCAGTAGAGAAGTGCATGCATGCAGGATGTGGAAATATCTGACCCATTGTTTTGTTTTTTATTGCTTTACTGGGCAAGTGGATAAAAAGATTAAAGCCTGTATGGGATAAAACATCAATAAAAATGCATTACTAAAAATAATTTGTTTGTTTATGCTGTATAATTAACATCAATATGTGTAATCGTATTGGCATATAAATAACAAAGTACTGGCTGTATTTAAACTTATCATTTATGTTGTAAAAAGCTATTCAATCTTTCCACTAATCAGTTTCCTCTGGCCACAACACAAACAGGGTAAAGTGACAGCTGTCTGTAGATGCACAATGTCCTTCTGCCATATGAAAGAGGTTGTTTGCTAACACTTTCCAAAACGCTTTAAATATCTTAGCCCTGTTTTACTGCAACATTCAGAAAATAGAGGTTACAAACGTCATTATTCTTTTGGCATACTGCAGCTTTGCCTCTGCACGGAGACAGATCAATCATTCAGCACTAATTGGGTGGTAGCATGTCCTCTAAAGGAGTAGCTGCTTGACTACCCGTGAACATAACAAACGGAACACAAGAGCCAGCTGGGTAAGCAGTTAGGGGGCTACACATGCACACATAGAACTGGAGTTAGATCCAAATAACTGCTATTTCATCTTCATATGTGTGGGCCTCTAACAGGGTTTGTTATTTGCATATACTAAAGGTTACGGCTGTTAGGGATGAGTTACACGCCCAGTTGGTAATTATATGCCGAGGCCCTAGGCTCAGGATCAGACAACAGGGCAAACCAGGGGCTCTTGCTGTCCAATCACAAAAACTGTAACAGCCAGCCTGAGCACTGCAGTGGTCCTACGACAACTACACTGTACAGGTCCTGCACAGGTATGTGCTAAGCATCGCGGTGGAGCATGGCCCACATGTCCCAAAAGATGCGGAAAAACCTTAACTGCAAAACTTTGGATCATAACAAAGACATGACTTTTATGTTTTGGAAGGCCAGGTTTAGTGTGCTTTGATGCTGCCAGCAAGAGCAGCAGAGCTATACTTTGGCAGCATTGTATTGGGGTATCTGAGCAACACAAGTTTAAAAAAGGTTAAGTTTGGTACAAACCCTTTCAACTTTTTCTGTCACTCTGAATCCCTTTGATTGAGTACAAGTGTAACGGCATTCGTGTCACGCTGTGGCTTCTCAGGTCATCCACTGCAGCGGTTACCTGAAAGTGCGTCAGTACATGATGGACATGGCGCCGTATGAATCCAGTTATCAGACTGTGGGTCTGGTGGCAGTCGGTCACTCCCTGCCCCCCAGTGGTATCACCGAGATCAAACTCCACAGCAACATGTTCATGTTCCGGGCCAGCCTGGACTTAAAACTCATTTTCCTGGACACAAGGTAGGACAGACCCTTTACTGAGCAAGAGGGTAAAAAGATTAAAGCAATGATGTCATGATATGTTGATGGTCCCTGTATAAAACATCAATACAAATAATCATCAATTACAAATACACCCTTTCTACAGCACATGCACAACATAACCATAAGAATATTAAAATATATACATAATATAAAATAGTTGTGTAGACTGCTGGATTGTTCACTGGACATTGTGATGCACTTGAGCACAACTGATCACAAAATCAACCCCCTGACTATTAGCTTGTGCCCTCTCTCATGTGTGCTGGAGCCAGGGTGGCAGAGCTGACAGGCTATGAGCCTCAGGACCTGATAGAGAAGACTCTCTACCACCACGTCCACGCCTGTGACGTTTTCCATCTACGCTATGCTCACCATTTATGTGAGTCCTCCAAATCCTTCGTAAGACTTGGGTGGGAGAGTAAATAGAAGTTAAGTGACAAATCGGCAATGATGAATGATCAATGTAATGGCTCAGAAAAACAGCAAGATTGAACCCCATAACATGACTCACAGGTCAAGATACAAAGTTTACTTGAAACCAAAAAACAGGCAAAGGTCAAAACCAGGTAGGCAGTCAGAACAGGCAAACTTATTCAGAAAGGGTTTGGTAGAAAATCATAAATCCATGGATCAGGCAAGCAGAACAAAGTCTGGAATATATAACAGGTGAATAGGTAAGTGGGTGATGGGTATGGCAGGAAAAGGGGTTACTGCAGGGCAGGAGGGAGTGGCTGGATCTGAAATGACAGGAGAGTTAGTATAGCAGTGTAAACAGAGCAGGCAGCAGAAGGAATGATGCAAGCTCTCCTTGTCTGGCTTGAGCCGGAAGATGGAAGGTCAGGTGGATCCTCATGGAGCGAGGAAGGCAGAGGGGGAGTGCAGCTGGGTTGATGACCTTGGTGATGGGTAAAAGAGTCACAAACCATGGAGCTAACTTCCTGGGCTTCACTCTGAGTAAGTAAGTCCTGCATGGATAACCAGACATCCTTTACCGGGAGGTAGCAGGGAGCACGAATGCAGGGTCTGTAGCCACTCTTCTGGTCGCGGTCAGAGGTACAAAGAAGAATAGAAAAGTTCTGCATCCATATGCAGCAACAGCAACCAATGAAAGCCTGGAATGAGGGACTGCAGGCCATCCATTCCTGCTCAGGAAGGAAAGGATGTTGATAACCTCAAGAGCACTGATGGGGGTAAGTCCAGTGGCAGAGCTGGGACATGTGTTATGGGCGTACCCAAAGCAGTTGTATGGACTAGGAAGAGAAATTGAGTGGGAGGAGAGGCAGTGCAGAGCCATCTCCATCTTCTGGTTCTTGCAATCCATTGAACTGAAGGTGGAAAGAAGATGACAGGCTGATGGTGGCTCCCGGGATGGTGCAAAACTTATTCCAGAAATGAAAGGTGAAGTGCGGTCAGAGACAATATCCCTGGGGACACTATAATTGCGAAATTCATAGTTTAACATAATTTCAGCTGTCTCTTTGGCAGAAGGGAATTTGGGGATAGGAATGAAGTGAGCAGACTTGGAAAACCGGTCAACAATGGTGAAGATGGTCCAGCAGGAACCTGTCAGAATTTTTGTGCTGAGAAAGGATCAGACAAGCAGCACCAACATCCCTGGTGTCTTGCTCTATTAAGACCCACCAGAAACATTGCCGTAGGAGAGCCAGCGTGGGTGTGACACCGGTATGGCATGCCAGCCAAGAAGAGTGACCCTATTGCAGATCCTGGGAGTGGAGGTTAGTTGGCACGAAGAGATGGTTAGTGGGACAGGCACCGGGAGCAGAAAACCCAGCGTTTTATCTTGACCTCTACTGCCCAGGTGATGGCAATGACAAAGCAAGTGGAGGGAAGGTTGGACAGCAGAACCTTCAGACTGGAACTAGTGAGAGAGGGATCAGGTTTAATGTTTTTGGACTGTGGGCGGAAGAAGAGTGAGAAGTTGATGAGGGCCATGAGAGGAGCCACCACTGCTCTGTACTTCCTGATAAATCGCCACTAGAAGTTGGCAAAGTGCAAGAAATGCCATAGTTCATTGTGACAAAAGGGTATGGGCCAGTCCAAGACTGTCTTGACTTTGGAAGGATACACCTGGATAATCCCTGCATTGACAAAACCCAAGAAATGACAACTCTGAGACATAAAACTCACATTTCATGGCCTTGAAATGTGAAATGTCACATCTTCAGAAGCCTTTGGAGAATGCGCCGCACATGTTGCACATGCTCCTGCTTGGACTTCTAGATAGACAAACACACAGAAGGGGCGTTTGATGAAGCAAAAGGCATGATAAGGTACTCATAAATTCCATTGGGTGTGTTACATGCAGTCTTCCATTCCATTCGTCAAACTTCGAAAACACGGTAGCCCATTGTAGCAGTTCAAAAGCAGAAGACGGACGACTGACGGGCGACTGTGGCTAAGTGGAGAGCAGGGCCGTCCTTCAATAAGAGGATCGGCAGTTCGATCCCCGGCTCCGGTTCCGCTAGTCGCATGTCGATATGTCCTTGAGCAAGACACTTAACCCCAAAATTGCTCCCGTAGCTGTGCCTACAGTGTATATGATAGATCTGAATTGTAAGTCGCTTTGGATAAAAGCGTCTGCTAAATGACTGTAATGTAAAGAAGAAATTGACTGGCCGACAGAGAGGGCTCTTTCTCTTCTCTGTTACCAAAGAGGACTTTCCATGTGGAGGGTGATCAGTGTCCAGGGAGATCCCGGGCAGACAGTTTATTTGAAATGACATCTGACCATCTCACCATTATATAAGTCATGATAGAAAGAATAAGAATCACACATACTCTCATGCTGCTATGGTTCGGAATTCAATGGAATAGTCAGCAACCCTTCTCCCTCCTTGAACCAGGTTGAACAGACTTCAAGCTGCCTCTCCTCCCGGAGTAGCATAATCGAATACTTTCTAGAGTTCTGTGGTGAATAGCTTCTCTGAGTGGCAGATCTGAGATTTTCTCTCCCATTCGGCAGTGGCCCAGTCCCTGGCCCAACTAGTAAGCACGGAGATGATGTAGGCCACCCTGGATCACTCAGATGGGAAGGAGGAAGGCTGGAGCTAGAACATGAGGCAGCATTGGTGGAGAAAAGACCAACAAGCTCTTAAATAGGGTTTTGGAATTGAGAGCCGTGGTTCAGCCGCAGAAGGTGGATGGGCTGGAGTACTAAGTGGAGGAACTGCCACCGGGTCCTGTACCATCATGGAGAGCTGCTGAACTTGTGGAAATGGCCTGGTCTTTATATACTGCAAGACTAATGAAGGAAATGGGGAACAGTCAAGTGAGAAGGAGGGCGGGGATTGTCAGGTGAGAAGAATGGCAAAAAAACGTGTTACTGCAGGGCTGGAGCGAGTGGCTGGATATAAGTGATAGGATAGTTAGCATATTGCAGGTAAAACAGAGCAGGCAGCATACATACAAGGAGCTGCGGAAGTTGTGACAGAAGAAGTAAACTCGCAAGGGGCCTTAACAGAATATTGCAAACATTTGGGAAGATCTGAGCACAACCAAGGAAATATGTAGATGCAAAAATAGCTAAGATGGTGCTGTCATCATGGCACATCTATACCACAACTATAATGTTTTATACTTAAAACACAGTTAATTTTGGCTGCATTGCATTGTGGTCTTCTAAAGCAGCTATAATTGATACTTTATGAAAATGAAATGACTATGCAAGAAAAAATATGACTCATTGTTTAGCTTCATGTTGTTTTCGGCAACAGAAGGCAACAAGTTGTAAAAACCCACTATACACTACCTGCTGAGCACCAAACAGCAGACACATGTAGAGACGAGCTGGTGAACATAATGGTGCATTTAAAGCCAGATATTTCCTTCAGGAGTTGGTAGAACAATTAGAGTTAAAAGATTATTGGGCTTACATTTGCCAGGTGGCCAGAAACATGACTCTAAACGAATGATAATGCTGCACCGCAACTACTGAACGTGTAAGTAAGCAACTGTTTGCTAACAAGTAGCCGTTTAAACTATAAAGATAAAATGGCAGTGTTTTGTTCACAGCTTATTTTTTCTGCCCCCAAGTGGCAAAAAAACGGTCATTGCAGGTTTTAAGTTACAGTCCGTTGAGAAATGTTTCTTTTGCTTCTTTTGAATGACGGATGCATAATGCTGGTTATAACAAGAGGCCCTTCCTGTATATGTCTAAGGGGCTGATTTTTCTCTTTGATCCTGATCTATGTGTTCCCTGTAGTACTGGTGAAGGGGCAGGTCACCACTAAGTACTACCGCATGTTGTCAAAGCACGGAGGCTGGGTGTGGGTGCAGAGCTACGCCACCATCGTCCACAACAGCCGCTCCTCCAGACCTCACTGTATTGTCAGCGTGAACTACGTCCTCACGTGAGTAGGTTGACTTCCCCCAGTGATTCTCCATGTAAAACCTCCAGTTCAACCAGTACGAAGATACACAGTGCCTTCCTGTTTGCACACAGTGACGTCGAGTGCAAGGATCTTCGGTTATCTGAAGACCAGATTCGAGCCAATAAGCCGGGTCTCAGTCTGACTTCAGTTCAGGACCACCGCAAACAACTCAGAACCAAAGCAGTCAAGATGAAGACCAAACTTAGAGCAGCTCACTATCCCGAGGTGGGCCTTCCACTTGGCCTACTGACTAAACAAAAGGTGAATGTTTTCACACTGGAAAATGATTTATGCCCCCCATTTTAAAGAAAATAATGTAATCCTAAGGATGTAATTTAGATCTTAAGGATTCCACTACTGCTGTAAATTGTATTTCTGTGCTTTCAGTAGTTTCTGTTTTTGTTACCTTCTCTATGCTGTTTTGTGTTTGTTTATGGATAGCAGCAGGCTGCTAGCCTCTTCCAGCCGGACCACTCGAGCTGCTCCACACAGAGGGGGCTGTGGAAGGAGAGATCCCCGTACCCACTGACCTCCTGCAGGGAAAGGAGCTCCAGCTTGAGTCCTGAAGCAGGACAGGTGTCCTGCGGCCCCACATACAACCTGACCCTGCACTACCCCTACAATCACCGGCATCTGGATGCTCAGAGCCAGCTTCCCAGCTCAGGTCCGTCCCCCCAGCTAGCTCAGCAGATCATCGGCTCCCTGCACAGCAGAGGGTCTGTTGGGTGGAACATCAACAGCCCCCCAGCAACAAATAAGTACACAGGTACACTCTTTATGTAACACAGTTGCGTTACCTCAATTAAGCCACATTAAAAGGTAGTTGGACATTCTGTACATGTTTCCTGCATTTTATCAAAAACACTGTTGGCTCCTGATGCTGCCCCTCCACTCTCTCTGCAAAAGTTCTGGTGTAATTTCAGCTTCTGAATATTGTTTTTCTTGATCAGTTCCTGTGCTGGCAGCTGACCGCAGACACCCCGATGAGATCTACCATGATTGTTCCGGCAGCACAAACCCAAATTCTACCAGCAGGCTGAAGGAAGAACCCTACGAACATTACACGCTTGTCCACAGCGAGCTGCCTGAGGTTTGTCTACACCCCCGTCCTCACGCTGCCAAGGACGGTAAGCGTTTTGGCCAGGAGGTCCGACAAAACACGAGAGGTGCCGAAGGACCTCGAGGTGTCCGGGCCGTCGCCTGCCCTTTGCTCAGCGGCCTGGTACCGGGTAAAGCTGAGCAGGGCGGCTCACTGCACGGCGCAGGCCAGCCTCTCCCCGTGCAGATGGAGTTGGAGCAAAGGAGGCGGTGTATGATGGAGGCTCCCTACAGCCATCCGGCCACAGCATATTCACAACCTGCCGATGGCCTCCAGCAGCACGGAGCTGCTGCGGAGCTGCAGCTCCGTGCTGCTGAGGAGGACAGGAGAATGTTGATCGGTATGGGGGTCGGGGTTGGACTTCCAGCCCAAGCACCGTACATGTCTTTGAACTTTCACAAGGTCCTGGGCAAACACGGTTCCATTAAAGCCCCCGCTTATAGCACACTGAGACAGATAACCGACAGCCAATGTTACCACGGCAAAGAGACGGCCTCTTACAGCTGTAACAGCCAGAGCCCCAGCTCCGGCTCGTCACCTGAGAGCCACAGACAAATCCCGCATTACATCGGCACATCCGTCATCATCACGAATGAGAGGTGACCCAGGACAGAAGCTCAGGAGTCTCTGAGTGCTTCAAAGACTCTAGCCAGGGTCTTTTCTCCTCGACGCGTCCACTTTGCACTCCTGCAGGATAGTTTGACACACAATAGGACATTACAGCTGTGAGCTTTTTTTCTCCCAATGTCGTCCGTCATATAAAAGACGTTCTATAGAATATATATGCAAAAGAGCTTTCGCAGGAAATTTGATTAACTTTAACTTTTTATTATTATTATTATTATTATTGATAATAAACCCAAACCCAAACTTAGGGCCTAAACGTTATACATGACTTCAACCTGATTTTGTTCTCAAAGAATCTTTTAATTTACACGTTTAATTTCTGTATCTACACATTTAATTTAAACATAATCTACACAAAACCCATCCTAATCTAAATGTGAGTATCAGCGATGTTTGAAGTTTTAGATGAAAACTGATTTTTCATATATGCCCAGCATACATCAATAAAATCTCAAAATTTTGAAAATTAAATTTCTTGGTAAACAATAGCTAACAGATTTGCACCTTGTGCACTAGAAGCAGTGTAGTACATCTATGTGTATGTGATGCAGCAACAAGCCTCTGCTACAGCAGCTCTAGAAACTAAAATCTACTTTTATTTAACAGGCAAAAACAATGAATTAGGGCAGGATTTTGTCTTTAATTGCACTATTTATTCCCCGTTATATATTTATTGCATAACTTAAATCACTTATCAGCCATTTCCACACTCAAAATATGGTGCAATCGAGTGGGCCGGCTCGGGACTGTTTAGCATGATGTAAAGCTAGCAGCCCCCAGAGGCTGAAACATTCATTACACTCAACTCTGTGACTGAGAAGTTTGCATTTGGATAATGGAATTGGTGTCATGGAAACATGTCTGTAGACAATAAAATAAAGGTTATTTTAAAGGAAAACGATGGGTTATTGCAATTTGGGTTTTATTTCCATAGCTCTGGTGATGGGTTATGATAACACTGCACTCAGCAACATGAACATGAACACGGTGACATCACCAGGCGCGTAAATACGGACAAAGCAAGCAGTGAGGTTGCAATGGGGCACATAGGGAGGGAGCAGAAGACCCTCCATGTTCAGTAAAGAACGGGTTTAATCAGATGTCCACCTTGGAGACTAACATTACTTATCATCAGTGCTACTTGCTACATACTCCTTTCAAAGTAAGGGAGTATTTTGGTAAAATAGTCTGTAGCAACAACAAAATGATATACTACTTACTGTTAGTGCCAAGACAGATACAGTATATTGTCGCTTTTATAATTATGTCAAAAACTGGTGACAAAATAAATAAATACATTTCCAGGAATAAACACTTCTTTTTTTTTAAGCTCTTACTCTCACCACCAACAATTTATTGTCATGTTTTGCAGCTGTGAGCAGCTCGTCCATTTCCTCTCGGCTTACATTAACATCACAGTCAAAAATCAGGTGTTCAGCATGCACGCTAACTTTTTAAAGAATACTTTTTGTCGCTGTGAAAACCCTACGAATCCTAATTCTAAGCAGATTTTGACTCTGTAGGCCCCACAGAGTCAAAATCTGCTTAGAATTTGTGGATGAGCACTGGTGCAGGCAACTGTGTTTAAAGGTCACATACTTGGTTGAATGGAGATCGACTGTGTGCATATAATCTAAGTTTGACATGTGTGTCTGGAAGGTCCAGCAGCTGGTTTCAATTTCTTGATAGATTTTATTATTTCACTCTTATCAGAAAGTGTAAAGACAATACAGACCTATCCACATGCTGTCTGCTTCCATATTAACATAAAGGGAACTCATTTTCATGGAATTATTTATTTCCATTTCATAATGTTCTAAAGATCCATTTGTATTTTGTTATGACTTTTCCTATTCACTTGTTTGATCAGAATCAAAACCAATCCACTGTGAATCAGTTTAGTTAAAGAATGAAAACTATGAATCATTTATCTTGCAGCTGTAATACATATCTGTAATATCTTTAAACTGGACTCATAAGAACAAACATGCCTACTAGCATTATACTAGCTCAGTCATGTAATATAAGCCACTTTTACTTTGTAAATGGGCTTTCATGAGAGAACCGGCCCGTGCGTGGTGTGAATACACTCACTGCAGAACATCCTGTTGACCGTGATGACTTCCATGTTGGCGTGTTGTGTCTTACAGACAGGGTTGAAGAGGAGGAGGCCCGAGGTTGTGATGAAGCACAGGGCCAGGTGACATTTTCACTTCATCTTAGTGGGACGAGCCAGGTGGCCCAGGAGCTGAAGACAACTGTCATCAAGTAGCTGTGGGACGGATCTCAAAGAAACAATCCCCCTCTCACTCACACACACTCTCTCACTCACACACACACACACACACACACACACACACACACACACACACACAGCACGGGGTGAAACTGCAGCTATCCTCTGCATTTAGATGAAGCACATTCACCTCCATGCAATTTGGGGGACCAGTGTCTTGCTCAAGGACTCGAACCACCGACTTTGAAGTTTGTAGACGACTCATTCTACCACAGCCGCTCCGAATCAGAATTGTTACATTAACCATTGACGTGTTATTAATGTACAGTGAAGAGTAACTTGGATATGTTTCAGCTCAGGTCCTGTTGTCCCATGTCTTTGTGTCCAAGTGACTAATGGGGACAACCATTTGTGAAATCGGTCCAGTATTGAGAGAGAGCGCTGCAGACTGCAGTGCTCGGGGCAACTCCTCACCGTCAATGTACGTCCACTAAAAGTGCTAGTTTAACCACCGACAGGCTCAGATTGTTATTAGAACATTACGGAAACACCTTTCAGAGAGTGAGCAGAACTAGACCGTACTCTGTGATTCCCTGAGACACAACATTTCCCCCATGAGCCAGAAGAGAACTCCCATTTAACGGGTCTGGATGGGCGGCCACCTGCCCCGACCCGGGCTGGGTTGAGAGAGAGAGAGAGAGATGTACAGCAGCAATAGCACAACAGATATAACAATAATAGAGATTGGACTAAATAACAATAATAGTAGCATTTAATAGAATGATAATAATAGCATAGCAGAAATAAAAGTAGGAATATGACGACTCTTACTAATAATAATAATAGCAGTGGATATAATAGTATTATTAAAAGTATTATAGCAGTGACTTTACTTGAGTATTTCTATTTTATGCTACTTAATACTTTTTACTCTTTCACTACAAAATGCAGAGGTATATACTGTTACTTTTACTGCACTACTGAGATAAGAAAAATAGCATTTATCTAAATCTAAATATAGCACTGAGTGTTTTATCAGTTCAGAGACTTCTCTTTGAGGCGACCCATTGGAAGCACACGAGCCCGGGTTTAACCTGCAGGACGTTCTGCACACCGACACTCCTCCGATATCACAGCACATGCAATACACGACACTACATGTTATAGGAGTCCTTCACGAGATTCACTCAGTGGCCACTTTATTAGGCACGCCAGTAATCCAATACAACAGCGTAGCCACACATTTTACCTTTACAAAGAGGGTAGTGTTCAGTTCATCATGTTTGTGTAAATATATGCTGTGGTTTACATTATATTAGGTGTGTAAAACACCGGCCAAGTGGTTTATAAACACGTACGGATATAAAATATGGTTTTTCAAGTTTTCCTTTCAGTGAAACAGAATTTTAATACTTCCTGTTCAAATCTAAAAGCTACTATCTTTATCATTGTCATATTAGTAGTTTTAAATTTGAAATGTCATTGTATTTTAGATACTGCGACACATCACCATGAGTGCTGATCTTTTTCTAGACAACTTACCGCTGTAACGTTTTCTTTGATAATCAGGATTCTGTAGACCAGGCAGGTCAACAGAAGCTGCTTAGTTAAAAGACACGAGCCACGTATTTCTGTGGAAATCTTTATTTTGCAGACATTAGCAACAGCAAAAGCCTCAATGATCCCTGTTCTCATGCAACAGTGACATCAGGTTAAGTGTTCAGATGAGGGGTACAGGATTTAATGCTCCCAGAAAGTCAGGTTCTTAAATATTGGTTTGAACTGGTGGTCCCGATTCAGCCGGTCATAATCAACCTGATGTGTGTAGTGATGCAGATATCACTAGCTGCCTTTAAACCCAGTCAGTCACTCTTTGTCTTCCAAATTACCCCAACTAGCTCAAATGGATGTCAGGTTAGCACACGAAGCTAACCAATACTCAGGAACATAGTAATGTATTAATCGATTATAAACACATTTATATCATTACATAAAGTTTTTGATCAGACTAAATAACTCAGTGCTTCAGCCTGTTGGAAGAGATGCTGGATTTGGTCCTAATGCTGCTTGATGACCACCAGGTTCTTCAGCATGTCGAAGGAGTTGCCGTTGGGCTCCACGGAGACCACTCCCTGCTCCTTGTTGTGCACCTGGAGGAAGCCATTGTGGTCCAGGCCCACCACCGCGGCCTCCAGTCCGTCCTCGCTCCAGAGACGCACCCGAGTCCCGCTGAGGGCAGAGCACAAGAGAGCCCATTCAGGGAAATGACAAAAAGCTGCGGCTGGAAGCAGTATCTGTTTCTCGGCTTTGACAAAGACCAAGAGCCTTAACGACTGAGACGACTATCCGCTAGGGACGGGCATCTCAAGCAAAAACATGAATACTTCAATATTCACTCGTGGCTTTCCTTACCCCAATATCATTATAAGCCAAACTCTGATGCTCCCTACTACTGACTGACATGCGTGTGTCATGTGTTTCACTGCCTTGACTCCTCCATTTCCTGTCCTTTGCAGAATTATGCACACTTGGTTAGTATTTATTTACTCCTTCAACACAGCAATGCTCTACTGAGTGCACCTTTCTAGTTTGATTTGTTTGTATTTCGGCACATCCAACACTAACCTCTGTTATACTTAAAGAGCAGCTGTCTGTGATGACTTCGTGCATGTGTATTGGGATAATAGCTGGATATTATCTGTGGCCTATGCTCCAATTCAAACCTTCACTGTTCACTCTGAATGTGGAATAGTACTTTGAACACTAACTATGAGACTTCAATTCTAGTTTGGTTATTGGACCCTGTTCTCAGGGTGGTGCGCCGTTATTATTGTTAATATTTTTATTGACATTAATAATTCTATTGATGTCAATAATTTAGTTTTTCATATGTGCCGATCCCATCATATGCATATATGTACGTTTTACTTTCTTGAAGCTGCATAGAAAGACGATGTACTTTGTACATTCAACACATCTAACAGACTACTTCCTTTCCTGTCATCTCCGTTGCATGCGTTTGTGTCTGTGCATAGCATTCTTAGATATTTGTGATTGTTTCATGTGCAATGGAGTTCTTATCTTATAGCTGTTCATTTTTTTTTATCGACTAGTGATGCATTGATTTGATTCGTGGGATGAGTATCAGATCCACAGTTTCTTCATCAGCATAATTATAGATTTCTGTGTTTCCTTTAGTTACAGCAGCCCTGGCCTCAGCTCTGCTTACATAAAGGTGGGAGAGCGCCAGCATACCATCTGTACTTGGTAACCTGAGTGGAGCTGTATTGACATCTCCACCTAAACATGCGTGTACCAGCTAAAGCAAAGTTTCTGATTCAAAATGAAAAGTAAAACCCGCGCTCACCTGTGAAGCCATCTGTTGTAGTAGGTGGGCAGGACGGCGTCCGCCCCCCCCCCGCTGGAAGCTGCCGATGAGGGCCTCCAGGCAGCCGACCGTGCGAGCTATGAGCTGGTCGCAGCGGAGCGGCTGCAGGCTGCAGTTATGCTGCGCGTTGTGCTGCTGGATCAGGTCATTGATACACATTGTCGGGTTGCTGTTCGTCACATTGAACCCACAGCCTGTAGGGCACAAAGTGTTCAAGACATGTTACTGTGCAAACACTGTTTCTGACTGGTGCCTGATGGATATCTTAGTGCAAAAAGACTGTATTATTACCACTGGTGACTCATTATTTGTCCCAAAAATGAAAAGGTGACGAAGAGGAGTTTGTTACCTATGAGCAGGTGAAAGGTTGATCCTATCACAGTGGAAGTCACCAGTACTCCCCCAAGCTTCATCAGGTTACTGTAATAGATGTCATTGGGCCACTTCACCCTCAAGTCTATGTCCTGACAAAGGTTGAAACACGTTTAAACATCATCAACCATCAACATAAGACATTTTCATAGAATACCCAATACTCACTTTGTGCTACAATATGATATCCTGCTACCAGGGAGCACTATTTAAATGATGTTTGGATACGATATCACAGAGGATGTGCAGGCCGATGAAGCCGGTGAAGGGAGGACGTGTGTGCTGGTACCTGGTATCCAGGAAGAGTGCGGACAGCCTCCACTGCCGCCAGGGCGACCAGATGCTGCAGGAAGGGGATCCTCTGTCCGAGCTTGGAGCTCAGCTCCACCTGGGCCGTCAGAGTGAACATGGCGCAACCCAGAGGGCTGAGCCAGGCATTCCTGCCCCGACCTGCAGGAAACACAGGAGACATACGAGGGGACGATAGGTGGTACACACTTCTGACAAATAAGATGAAGAAAAAACCCGAAAAACGAACATGTCAATACGATGGAGGCATGTGTGACTGTTGAATATGCAGGTGTACAGTGTGCTAAAGCACTGACCTCTGCCCTGGCTTTGTTGAGCAGCGACCGCTATCAGGCCCACTTCCTTTGGTAAGTGCAGAGTCAACCTAAAGAGGGAGACAGACATGTTAAAACCTTTAAAGAGTATTACAGGGGCCCCTGGTTTAGTCTTACTCTTAAAACAGTCTCACCAGGGACTGTGAAGTCTAGTTAATGTGGCTTTTCTTAACATTTGTTATTTCTATTGCAATTAAAAATTGTCATCTCCAGCAGATTTGGTGCAGACGTTTTTTTGTGCGAATGTAAAAACTAAAAGATACTTTCCGGAATACTGACTATTACAGTAATCACGATTATAAAATGAAAAGAAACTGACAGCTATTTCTATATGATGTGGTCCAGCAGCTCACAATGCTGTGGTCAGTACTTTACTTCAATAGAGGTGATGTTGAGATCTGGATTCATGCTTATTCATCAGAACGCCTGGATCTGTCCTCATCTAGATCCTGTGGATCGCCTCGGGAGGTTTTATATTTGTGTTGATTTCAGAATGTTCATCATGTTCAACGTTTATCATTACAGACTAGCTTCTGTTAAACTCACTGACTGCTATATGACTGGGCTTCACGATGGCACACCTACGAGTCTCAACCCGGCGTGGATCACATTATGATGAGAACATAAGCCACCTTCGTCCACGATTCACACGCAGCTGTTTGAGCATATGAGCATATGAGCCGGCCACAAAGTAGAATTTGTTGTCATCATGAAACACTGTGCTGACACTGACAACCAAGTGCCGTTGTCGCCCATTTTCTACACGAGAAAAACACGACAAAACACAAAACAGAAGCGCATTTCTGTAGTGCAAGTTTTGAATTGAAACAATTCGCTGGGCAATATGGCCGACGTCTTAACGGTAACGTCAACTCTTTTTAAACCCCCAAAAAAAGACAAACCAATTTCAAATGTTTTTCAACCATCGAACTGAGTGCCGCCTCTTTGTTGATCTTTGACTGAGACTAAATAGCACACTCAACATGCAGAGAGCGTGTTAACCAGACAGAAGCACTTTCATTTTTGACGACTCGTGGAATTCATTTCAGAAAGTAAAAAACGTCCACTCTTAAAGCTTATGAAGTTTCTAAATAAAGTGAATGTAAGTTATAGCTTGAAGTGCAGTTGTATTTCCATGACGGTCCTGCGAGGTTGTAATTATTAGCACAGTGTGTTGGCATTCCATCAATGCTCATTTGAGAGCTGTGTCGGCCTTACTACCAGAAAACCAAAAAGGGAAAATGTTTGCACATTCTCTCATCTCCAAATGTAATTAAAGCTGATCCAGCGGCCCAAGAAGAACTGCCCTCGATTGGCTGGCGAACAAAGATTGTGAGGGTGCAAAGCATGCGAGCAGGGCCTTTCTGCTTTTGTGATGCAAAGTTAGTCATCGGTAAATCAGCTTAAGGATGAGGGCACCCCCAACTCTGGCCAGATAGAGCTTTGTAACAGACTTCTCTAAGAGCTGTTTATCAAAGGGATAGATGGACGGCTCAATCTGGCTTCTGAGCTCAGGGAATGTTGATGTGACGGGCTGATGACTTTGTGCGGCGGACTGAATTAGCGAGGAGTTTATCAGCCGTTAGTCGAGTTAAGTACGACTGATTATGAAAAGAACGTTCACAATTCTTCTTGTCTGTTTCATAGAGCGCTGCAGGGAGGACACATTTCTGTAGGCCAACCAGGACGTTTGCGTTACACTGGTTCCCAAAAAGCCAATGAGATTTTCCCATTGGATTGTTGCAGAAAACAAAAGGTTCATGACAGCGACACATTTTATTCATCAAGATAATAAAAAGCTAACGTTAGGCTATAAAAAGAACTACATGACAGTCACGTGACTTCACGTCACCACCACTGAGCTAAAGGAGGACTGGTGTCCCAGTGAGGATGCTTCGTCGTCTCATTTAGACACTTGTTAGCAACCACCTTCTTTAAGACACGTAAAGGCTTCAGAATGAATCTACTGTAGTATTCACCGATATATTTTATACTGTAGTACAAAACGTTAAAATCGATTAAGCTTGTGTTAACCACAGACCTTATTTTAAGGCACGTAACCAGAAACCTATTAGTTTTTAAAACATTGACTTCGAGACCAGAGAACTTGCGGACTCATTTCTGGGTTTTAGGCAGGCGACAACCTCCGGTTCTGCCGAGTGAAGCCGATGTGGAAGTGCCTTAAAACCTGCATTCTCTCTAATGTAGATCAGGGGGCGACTCCTCTGGTTGTATAGAAGTCTATGAGAAAATGACTCTACTTCTCTCTTGATTTATTACCTCAGTAAACATTGTAAACATGAGTGTATGGTCTCAATCTCTAGTTTCAAGTCTTCTTCAATACAGCATGATGTTCATTTAGGAAATGATGGTCCATTTAGAGTCAGATAGAGCACAAAGCAGGGGATGCTTTAGGGCGGGCTTACTGTGATTGACAGGTCACTGCTGCTACCAGAGTCGTATGTATATAACTTCACTATGTCACTCCTCTGTATTCTAAATACGGTAACTTCTGTTCATTGGTTGCGGAAAAAACATGGTGACGGCGAAATCCAGGCTTCCTATCGGCAGTCCACAAACCAATGGGTGACGTCACGACGACTACGCCCCCTTATTTAAAGTCTATGGTTTTAGGACTCATTTATGCAGCACTCCATAACAATAATCAGCTGCCCAATGCCCACATGCTGCTTCCTAATGGCATTACAATAATACAAAATCCACAGTCTTCATTCTGGTGCAAAAATGTACAATTTCTTTTAAAAGAAAGACCTGAAGCTAATCGGCCTCAGCCATCCAAGTTAGACGGATCATGAGGATAACAAGTCAGAACTGTTACTCTCCTTCCTGCAGCTCAACAAAGAAAAGCAAAGAGGGGATTTTATACTAAAACAACCTTAACTTTGGAAGACACCCACTAGATGTGATGAAGTCAGACTGCTGAAGCCCATTACGAAAGGCTCTTTTAACGGCCAGTGTGAACAGGAGGAATGATTACAGCAACTCTCTGATTCAATCTTCACACGGACACCTAGCTATTGTTTGACATGTGAACCTATCCTTACAGTTCACCTGTGCAGTGGTTATTTCGTAACAACTCTATTTGCAAATCCTTTAATCTATGCAAATATGTCGGCCAGACGCGCATAGCTTGGGGGCGAATGAAAACATGTGGGGGGGGTTCTGAAAAAGCTCACAGCTTCAGGAATTCGTTCACTTAGCTGAAGCTGATCACAGTGGACATTTTGTGCGGTGCTTCTGCAGCCAAGTAACCGCCAACATGTGCTCACTAATGAAAGACAAACAAAATAGATTTAAAAAGCAAAACCCTGGGTCTCTGCTGTCTTTATGCTCAGATGGAATAATAATAGATCATTATATATGCAGAAAACTGGGAAAGACGAGGCTGAAGTGTATTTTTTTTTTTCTTATGTGATTGAATTATGTTGGAGCACATGAAATATTTCCATATGAAGCGATAAACACAGCACTGGGAGGAGGGGTGGTACTCGGTGCAGCGCTCGCCGTGTGAGATCTTAATGTGTGCCGTGTTAGCTGGAGCATGACCCTGCTGAGGGTGAGGCTGGTTAGGAGGTGCTTAGTCCCCGCTGAGGCTGTAACTGGGGGGATGCTGCTGTTTGGCAGGACCACCGGAGAATCGGCCTGGTCCGTGACTGAAGGATCTCTGCTGACAATCAGCCCCACATGAAGAACCGGACCGGGGGTCCAAGCTGACTCTCCGGAGTCCTCGAGCTTCATCAAATGAGCTTTATATGAGAGGAGCTGGACCTAATGAGACCAGCAAGTCCACCACTGACCGTCTCTTCTGATATCGCAGCGGTGTCTGCACCAATGGGGGACACAGGACGGGGCTGGGAACGCACCACGTTCAGTTTGTGAGGACTTGAACTATTAAAGTGGATCCATTTCTACACCAAGTCGCTCAGTCCTGACTCATTCTTTTCCATCTGATCATCAACAATCATCCTCAAGTGTAAAATGTTGTGATTACGTTACGGATTGTGCATCCCTCGTGTGCAATATGATGCAATAAGCATCTGTCTTGACTGAAACAGCGCAGGGATGTATTTAAGATATAACATACATCTTATGTCGACTCCCATCCACCTTAGAGGCTTTCTTTGAGTGGCAACCAAGTGACATGAATGATGTTTGCACGAGCAACACAAGCAGTCAGACCATCACACAGCGTGTGAACAAACCTTCTCTTCCAACTAAATGAGCACGAATGTGCAGTTTTTGTAAACACGGATAGAGTTATGGTGAGTAAACAGTAGAAAGCAGCATGGAGGCCAGTGAAAATGTTACGAGAGTTACTTCTTTTCTTTATATATCTGTTACTGACTCGGTTTCTCATTCTAACTGTAAATCAGGGTTGGTGATGGTTGGTGATGGTTGGAATGGTGTAAAGAGTTTTACTTAGCTTCAGTTTAGTTTGAATGAAGCGTGTTTCAATGATCAGCGAGGTAAACTGCTCTGACTGGAGTCTAGTGGCTTTTAAAAGGTTGCAAATTAATTGCATGTTTTGGACGTTGATAATTTATAATAATTGTCCAATTAGGCCCGCTGCAGAGTCTTTGTCCTGGGAATGAATGCCGGTTGTAACCTTTCCCACTGAAGACAAAAGCCAGATGTTAGCAGGGTGTTTCTGTCCAGTCGGAAAGGGGTTTTAGTCAAACTTATACAAAGTAAAACATGAAGGACAACTGTAACATTTCTACCCAAAATATCCAGTATAAACACCCACGTCCTGCTTCAGCTTTGACCTTACTGTACATGTCAGTATTTGAAGCTTATCTTAGTTTTGAATCGGGACCGTGTGGAAAATAAGCTGGAAGCTTTTTATTTCCGACTGTATTAGTGATAGTTAACTCATGTCAACATTAGTGCTGGTGTAGTAGCACTGGTAGATTACTGGTTCTAAATGACTAGTCCTATGTGTATTATATCACTGCTCTGGTGGGTCTCAGACTATTAGGACCAGATCCACAGCAGCGGGTCAGAAGACCAAATCCCAAACCCTTTACTT